TAATGATCCTATATTTTGTAATTTATTTTATATATTAGGTTTGATAATGTGATGTGGATAGGTTTGTATATTGTTTTTTTTTAGATTATAACTACTTAAATTTTTATCTTTTGATTTTTAACTGATTTAGGCAATTACTATTTTTATTGTTTTATTTATTTATTCTTTTAGATTCTAACGTTTTAACAGTTAATTGATTTTACATTTTAACTCATTTTAGGAAATTATTTTATAGATTTTAACCTTTTTAGATTTTAACCTTTTTAGACTTTGACTTTTTAACTTTTTTTTAGATTTTAACTTTTTAACTTTCTTAGATTTTAACTTTCACTTATTTTTAACTTGTACTTAAATTTTAACTTTAAACTTTTTACTGATTTTATATTGTAACTTATTTATAAGCAATTTATTTGATAGATGTATATTTTTTTTTTAAGCTTTTATCGATTTTATATTTTAACTATAACACTATTTAACACTTAATTTTATAGTTTTTAACTTTGTATTTATTTATTTATTTAATTATGCACAGATTGTTTCAATCATGCGCGTGGTGGGCATAGTTTAGAACGAAAAAAAAAAATATTGCAATGAACAAAATACCAACCAAGAAGATCGAAGTTGGACAAAAGGTATGGGTTCTGAGAACTGGAGGACCTGTTCAAGAGGCGGTTGTTGCCTCTGTGATGTCTGTGGCTACTGCAGGAGGCGGAGATAATAAATTTGTTAAAGTGGAATGGCCTGACACAGAAGGTGTGGTATTGGGAAAGACGGTGTCGATAGATGATGTCTTTCCCAGATTGCCAAATGATCCGCTGAATGTCGCAGAGGTACTTAGTGAGCGGCAAAATGAAGCTCTACGCCCTGATGATAAAGTTTGTCCGATATGCGGGCTTTCTTTTAAGGGCGAACGAGGTCTCGGAACCCACATTGCAAAAAAACATCCCAGGGAGGCGAATAATAATACATTGAGGGGCATAGTAAAGAACGTGATAGGTCCTAGAAATGGAGAGGGTGAGTCATCAAAAATAAAAGAGGACATTGTTGAATGGTCTACTACGTTCAAGAACCTTTTAAAGCAAGAAATGGTGAATACTGCGGATTTTGATGAGGCCGTAGGCAAGTTCCTAAAGTTCCTCAAAGTCATTAATGCGGAACTGCCAGGTCCCCAGCACCCAGCCGTAAAATTTTATAGGATGAGGAAAAAAAATAAAATGAAAATGGCTGACAAGGGTGCTGGACAAGTCTCAAATCCGCAGAGGGCAAACAAAGTAGACAGGAGTCGTCGGCAAGAGCAGTATCAGTACGAGGTTGCCCAATATAATTATTATAATAAAAGAAAAAAGGTTGTGCAAACTGTAATGAATGCCGACGCTCCTAAACGGTGTCCTCTAAAAATGGCCGATATCGAGAGGCATTATAAAGACCTCTTTGAGAACGAAAATCTCTGCGGGCGTGCGGATTACGAACAGTGTACCCCGATGCCGGATTTGCTGTCCATTGAGATAGAAGCCATCAGGAAAGCCATTAAATCAACATCAATGGACACATCGCCGGGGCCTGATGGAGTTCTGATCCGCACAATAAAATATTTTGAGGTATCAAGCATTATTAAAACGATTGCAGAGATAATGCTGAAGGTGGCCTATGTTCCGGAACCACTTCGACAAGGGCGCACAATATTGATATATAAGGGCAAAGGTGATATAAACAATATCTCTACCTGGAGACCGATCACCATATACTCGATTGTGCGCCGAATCATAGAGAAGGTTCTGGACTACGAGTTAAGAAAGCAGGTCACCTTCCACAAGAGTCAGAGAGGCTTTATAAAAGGCCTCCCGGGAACGCACGTCAACGCGAGGATCATCGACGCGGTATTAAAAGATGCACAAAAAATGAAAAATGACTGTGCGATAGTTTTCCTCGACGTTGTCGGTGCTTTTGACAATGTTGGGCACAAACACATCGTAAGCTCCTTAGAAGCGAGAGGTGTGTCACCGAATCTTACAAATGTCATATCAGCTCTCCTTAGCACGAACACCATAAAGATTGGCAACGGTGTCCATGCAACTAGCCAGATCAAAGTGCTGCGCGGTGTACCCCAAGGTGGCCCCCTGTCGTCTTCACTCTTCAACCTGGCCATCGATCATCTCTACCGCGACCTGTGTGACGAGGACTTTTCCAAGAAATTTGGATACAAATTAAGGAATGAGCAAGATTGTGTGGTCCTCACAGGTTTCGCGGATGACCAGGCAGTGTCGGCGCGTGACAAGGGGGCTGCAGAAAGAGTGATTGACAGCATACAAAGAACATTTAAAGAAATTGGTCTGGCTATAAATCCTCTAAAAAGTATGGGCATCGTTATAAATAAAGGAGAGCTGGAAACTACGGTGCTCTCCCTTGAGAATGGTGAGTACATCCAAACATTGAAGAATGGAGATACGATTAAGTATTTAGGATGTACATTCTCGGGAGAGCTGCAATTCAACGAAGATTCGGTGACTAAATTGAATGATAATCTAAACAAGCTGGTAACCTCTTGCTTACTTAAACCTGAGCAGAAACTCAACATTGTCAATCAATATCTGTTCCCGGGTCTTACTTACCCTCTCCAAACTGCGCCCCTAACAAAGCTACGTCCTGCTATACTGGAGGGCATCGACACTATGATTCGCAGGAGCGTAAAGGCCATTATTGGACTGCCTGCGAATACTTCCACAGCGATGTTGTATGCCCCCAGGAGATACCGAGGATTGGGATTAATCCGCTGCCAATGGGAGGCTCCTCTTCAACATTGGTCCATTGCTCAGCGACTGTCCAATGTACCAGATGCCCTTTTTCAGTCTACCTTCGATTATTCGGCTGAAATTGCTGAATGTGCCGAGAGATTGGGGGTTGATCAGGGTCATCGAAATGTGAAAGCTCTACGGCAGTCGCTACGAGAAAATGCATTTGAGGAATGGGCCAACTGCAGGTGGCAGGGTATTGGTGTTCGCCATTTTAAAGAGACCCCGAAAGCGAATAGATACATCTACGAAAAGCAAGTACTTTCTGGGTCTGAATGGTCGAATGCCCTAAAACTAAACATTAATTATGCACCCCTGCGTGGAGTCCCAGGAGTCAGCGGACAGGTCAGAGAAGTTGGGTCCCTCTGCCGTAAATGCGGCAGAGAGTCTGAAACACCAGCACATGTGCTGGGAAAATGCCCCAACAACTCCCTCCTCATAACACGTCGTCACCACCGGGTCAAGTTCGAATTGATGAGGCTCCTTAGGGAAAAAAAATTCACCTGCTTTGACGAGGTATATTGCATCGATAGTGAGGGCTCTACGAGATACGCTGATATCGTCGCATTTCCCAAGACAGGAAGGACAGCGCTGATCTTGGATCCAACTGTCCGCTTTGAGAGCAATGACCTCGATCAGGCGGGTGAAGTGGAAAGGGAAAAGAAGAACACGTACGATAAATGTATCCCTTTCCTAAAAGAGAAATTCCGTGAGACCTTCGGAGAGAGAGAGTTCACCGTGAGAGGCCTCTGGTTTGGGTCTCGCGGAACTATCCCAAAAAGAACAAGGAGCTTCCTCGAGGAACTAGGTGTCGACATTAAGGACGTAGCGAGGTTGGCTGAAAATATAGTCCTCGACTCCCTGGGAATCATTCACCACCACGTGCATGGCTAGCCCGAGAGTTTTAATTTATGTATTTGTTTATTTATTTTTTTAGTGAATAATTGAAAACAATAGCGATAAAGAGAGAGAAGTGAGAGAAAGGGAAACTTAATGTTAAATAAAAAAAAAAAAAAAAAAAAAAAAAAGCATGAACAATGAGAAGAGGGAAAAAGGAAAAAAAAAAAAAAAAAAAATTATAAGGATAAATAAAATAATAAAAATGTATATATATATATATTTCTGTTTTACTAATATTAACTAATACTTCTGTATATTTATATATAAGTTCATATATTGTCTTAAGGATAGAAGAGTATGCTGTGTGTATAGCAACCCAATGTAATTGGGCAGCAATCCTTTATATTTTATATTTTATGAAAATAAAGTGTTTCTCTCTCTAATCACACGAACAATAATACTTTAAGAGATACTTTTTTAATATTTTTTTCGATATAACATGTTCACAATAGTACTTACTCTTTTTTCTTTTTCATGATTGCAGATATTTGATGTTATATACTTGGATCATATTTTAAATTTAAGTTCTTAACAGCCTACAAAACTTTAATTATAAAATCCAACTATTTTGACCAGACTCTGAAACCATGAGTCCAGCAATCCCCCACTCCATGTGGAGGCCCTGCTTCAAAGACAAGGACTTAACTTAAAATGCAGGCTATTATACCCTATAGTAGGACCTCTCATTACTCAATTGTCAATATGTTTCTAATTAAATTATTATTTTTTCCAAGCACCTCCAGTTTTCATACTTCTAATTTAAAAGTGTTTTTGAGTGAGCCCTTAGGAATAACTGAATTAGAACATTTTAAAAATAAAGGTTTTGAAAAAAATACACATTACTTGTGTTAATGAAACAAAATTAATATTTAGAGACCGCATTTTCGAGCAGAACTGAAAAAAACTGAAAAACGTAAAAAACTCAAAATGAGCAAAATAATGTAGTTAAAACCAAAATATTTAAAATTGTATAATTAATACCTAAAAGTTGCAAAAATCATAAGTTTTGTTTAATTAATTATATTAATTAGAGTCTAGATTTCCATGTTCTTGGATATTTTACTTGGTTTGATCATATTTCGATGTATTAATACAATAAATGCAACAAAATAGATGATTTTTTACGTTTTTAGGTGTTGAATACACAATTTTAAATATTTTGGGTTTTCACCACACGATTTTGAGTTTTATCACACAAAAATCCGGTATCTAGTAATATTACTTTCAGTGAATAATAATTGAAATGGAATCATTCTAGAAAGTATCAAAGTTATCTCCTTTTCCTCATACAGTTTTATTTCATTTTTATAGGTGTTGGGATCAAAAACGTTACTTTAGGAAAGAATAGGCAGAAAAAAACAAAAGTAAAGAATATTACTTCATCCCCAGTGAGTGAGCAAGTCAATAAACCAAAGGATATTGGTGAGTAAACATCAATACTCAATATTTTTAAGTCTAGATAATCACATATGATCATTTTATCTAAGTAAATAATAAAAATATAATTTTGTGCATTTTCTCGCATTTATTAAATACTATAATTTTATTTCTTTTCCAAAATGATCATTATTTCTTGACCATTATCTATCCATTGAATTAGTCATATATATCTTTTATTCTTATTCTTTTTTTTCACTTCAATTATGTCTATCTGTATGATGATTTTTTTTTTTTTATTTATATATTATTACTGTTCATGATGTATATATTGATTGGATTTTACTGATGCAGTTCCAGAGCTTTTCTCACAGTTTATTAAACATTGTGAAATATATTAGTTCGTATAAGCTCTATTGACCTACCCTTGCATTTGCTACCAACGCAGGTTAGTAGTAAGATATAACGTAAACCAGAGTTCAGGGCTTTGGTGAAGACAACAATTATACCACTTAATCTTGCAACTGTTAAGGCATGCCTGTGTGATGCTAGGCTGTTATAAGAATATTTCTATCAGTATTAGATCTCTCTAAGCATTAATCAAAATAAAAAGATTTAGGTTACTAAACCCAACAGTTAGAAACAACTGTCAACAAGTTTCTAATTAAATCATTATCTTTTCTCAGAATTTCAGCAGTTTTCTTGCTTCTTAAAATTTGTAATGTCTTTTAATATTACACTGCCTTATTTATATAAATTTTCAATGATTATTCACTCTGTCAGAACATACAATCCAAATTTAATCTTAAAAGTTTCCAATGAATTTAATAAACCTAAGAAAGTTCAAGGCTCAGACCACATATAATGAGTCATTTAATTGAACTAAATATTAAGCTATGACAAAACAATAATAAGCTACTTTTTTGAAATCTAAATAATTCCCATAAAACACATTCTGTTGCTAATAACTTATGGAAAAGAAGAAATTTTTTCAGTCCAATTGTTTTCCATAAATCCAAAAAATACCAATAATACCACCATAGTGTTGAGAGAGGTATAATGAAAGTATGTGATTAAAGTCATATTGAAGATATTAATCTAGTGCTTGTATGAATATGATCAATCCAGTATGATACTCCATGATAATAATTGCACAACTGCTTAAATAATGAAGATAGTTTTGTTGTTTTGAAAATGGCATTGTGTGTTTTGAATCACATGATTGGATGGCAGTATCATAAATAAAATGTTTCCATAAATTTATATAGTTTAGTAGCATAGGCGCTGACTACTAGGTTGGCTTGAGGTCCCCAATGCTACTGTGGTGAGGGCTCAGCCGCCCTGTAGTAAGTATGATCATGAACATATCGATCGTGTACATTACAATTCCATTACAAAGGGCTGTATCTATGTACTATCATGTACTGTAGAATTTGTTTATCGGTATTCCATTGTGGATTCATAAACTAACCTAAACAGTAAATGGAAGAATCATCTATTAAAATTCTGTACTTTTTTAGTTAAAAGTGATTTGTTTGACTTAACACTTTTTTGTCATCAGGAAGGGCTTGAAACAACTCATTACCTGCCTGAGATGGTAATTTTTCATGTATTATATATTGCATATAGGCATATAGGATATAATCCAAATAATACCACCTCCCTCTCAAGCCCTCCATCCCGGGATCCTATAGGTTGGTTCTCCCAATAATTTTCATAAATCGGCGTCTATGTTTAGTAGTAATATCTGCAGTGAAGAAAATATAGAGAACAAGACCCAATATACAAACTTGCAGAATGCCAGTCTACTAGGTAACAATAGGAATATTCAATGCCACAGAAAGAAATGATTAGCAAACTCGAATCTCTAAGGACTTAGTATCAGGATTGCGATAAATAAATTTTGAGCTTGGAAAAGCAAGTTGCATTTCCGTACCCCATCAAAAGCTTCAGCAATATCCAGAAATGTGCCAGTGCAGATTTGCTTTTAAGTACTTTATTTTCACTATGTAATAAATTTCAACTCGTCCTGGCCGGATTCAAACTGTTGTCCCTAGACTCGAGAATGCTAAGATAAGCAACACGCTAGTCCATCTTGGCCTCAAATATATTGGAGTATCTGTCAAAAGTTTCAGAGGATGCAGTTACAATGGAAATCGTGAATAAGCAGAAGACTAATCGTGCTCCAGGACTTGATGCAATAGATGCAGCGATCTTGTGGAACAGTATCACGTATATTGAAGACCGGTTGTTAAATATTTTCAATGAATATTTGGATATGGGATACTTTCCAAGAAGATGGAAGATCGCTGATTTGAGACTACTCTACAAGGGAGGAGATAGGGACAAACAAGTCCCCAATTCATATAGACCTATATGTCTCGTCCCTGTGATTAGCAAGGTCCTGGAGAACCTCATGATGACTAGTTTACGACCTGTTTTCGCTAGAGCAAGTCATCCACGGCAATATGGATCAACCAGAGGCAGAGGAACAGCTGATGCCCTGCTGAGAGTGCGCAGAGATGTTGAGGAGAGGGCGGAGCGGTATGTCATGTTGCTCCTTTTCGACATATCCTCCGCCTTCGACAGCGTATGGTGGCCTACTAGCGTGCTCCAGCAGCTGCAGAGGTACGATGCTCCCAGTAACTTATACACACTAGTAAGAAGTTACCTCCAGGACAGAAGTGTGAAGATTAGAGACAATTACTACGAGGTAGAGGTGGAGTCTAGTGTTGACATTGAACTGTGCCACATCGCTAATAATACCTCTGTCTTTTCTCTTCTTTTTGTGTGCTTTGTAGTGTAAAGTGTTCAATAAGTTTTTGAATATAAATTCATTAGTGATTAATGAGCAGTTGAGTGAAATTTGGTGAGATAGTATTGTGAAACAAAAACGATTGGATCGATATAAGAAATCAATAAACTATCGGTGAGTTTGCATGGCCATTAACAGTAAGTTAAGTGCGCATGTCTGCCCCTACTGCTCTGTTCTAATCGTAATCTCATTACGTTTGTCAGTATCACCTGTGTCTTAGGAGGGTGTATCTCGCTGTTTTCTAAAAACTCATCTAATCAATCTAATCGATAACCATGACAATTACCAATGAAGACATCATGCAAGCTATAAAGGAAATGAATGCAAACATAGAAAAAAATAATGCCATAAATGCAGAGCTAATAAAGGAGTTAGAATCGGTAAAGAAAACATGCGCGTGCCTAGAGGAAAAAACTAACCAATTGCAACAAGAAGTTAATTTTTTAAAAAGGCAACTAAGAAAAAACAATTTCCTTATTCATAATGTACCTTTATCAGAAAACGAAAATATCCTGGATAAAGTAAAAGATATTTTCAATGAAATAAACATTATTATATCCGACCATGCAATAAATAACAGTTTTAGGCTAGGTAAAGGGCCAATATTAGTTTGGCATGGAGGAGATTATTCATTGACTTTGAGAGGACATAATTCATATAGGAAATAATTAGGACAAAAGAAAATTGGATTCCGATTACTCATACAAAATAATCTTAGGGAGGTTAGGAAAAGCAAACAGTTTTGGACTACTATAAACTCTCTGAAACCACATAAAAGCCAAATAAACGAAATAGGAATACAAGAATGGAACAAATTTTATATATCACACTATGGCCAAAAATGATCCGCGGAAATCAATTTTATTCAGTTACTCAACCATATCTTGAAAGTGAAATAACATTAGAGGAGCTAAAATATTGTATCCAACAATCCAAGAACCAAAAAGCTCCTGGCTTCGACAATAACATATACGAAACCTTCAAAAATCTCACGCCGGAGTGGGAGCATTATCTTCTCAACCTATTTAATATAGTGATGGACTGTGAGAAACTTCCCCTACAGTGGTCTAAATCAAAACTTCATTTACTGTTTAAGAAGGGAGACAGGACGGATACAAATAATTACAGAGGAATATCCCTCTTAAATACAATGCTGAAGTTATTTACCAGTATTCTGGCAAGCAGGATTATACAATGGGCTGAATCTGAAAGTCTTATACCTGAAGAACAAGCGGGGTTTAGAAATCGTAGAGGATGCACAGACCACATTTTCACACTAATGTCACTAGTTAGTATTAAATTTAGATCCGAAGGCAGCTACTTATATGCTGCATTTATAGACTTCCGGAAAGCCTTCGACTCCATCAACCATAACTTGCTATGGGAAAAACTCTTTTCTCTCGGACTTGGAGGAAAACTTATAAGGATAATGAAGGTGCTGTACGACAATGCTACACCTCAAATTGCAATCAAAGGACAACTACCGGAAAGCATAGATATAACATCTGGCCTGTTACAGGGAGAAAGTCTTAGTCCAGCACTTTTCGTGTTGTTCATATCAGATATAATCCAATGTTTTCAGCATAATGGAGCCACAGGCGTAAGATAGCACTCTTGAAGTAAAAATGCTCTTACTAGCAGATGATATTATTCTTCTTAGTAATACTTGGCAAGAAGCACAAAAGAAACTGAAGATCCTGCAACAGTACTGCGAGAAGAACTCCCTGACTGTAAATGAGGAAAAATCAAAAGTTATAGTATTCCATAAATACCCCAGGATGAAGAAACTTAAGCCCCTTTACTGGTATGAGAAAAAGCTGAAATACACTAAGGCCTATACTTACTTAGGAGTATCTTTCACTTCCTCAGGAAAATTTAGTAAGGCATCTGAGCATTTTATACAGAAGTCCTCTGTTGCCACGAGAAAAGTATTGGAGATTTTGCGAAGGGGTAGAAGCGATTCATGGGAGACAAAAATTGTTCTTTCTGATTCTATGGTGTCTTCAACCCTTCTGTATTCTTCTGAAATATGGAGCTTAAGGATGCTATACCTGGATGCTATTGAAGTGGTACAGCTGAAGTTTCTGAAGCAACTATTTAGGTGGCCAAGGAATACTGCCAACTACATTGTACGTCTCAAAACTGGCCGAAACGCTTTGAGCGTCAGTGTTATGAGAGGGATTATAAATTACTGGTCTAAATTGTCGCTTATGCCTGAAGAGAGGTTACCAAGGCTTTGCTTCAACAAATTAATTTTGCTGGATACAAAGAATCCTGATATAAACTTTAATTGGATCACACAAGTCAGATCAATAGCTACTCATTATGGCTGTAAAGAAGAGTTCGATAAAGTATACTCAACTGGATTATTAAAATACAGCGATGAAATATTGGAAAAGCTAAAAAACCATAACCTATCTAAGGACATACATTTATCCATAAATTCCAACAACAATCCCATATATAGAACTATTTCCAGCTTCAATATTTCCAGTCCAGAGTTCTATTTGATGTATAGAGCTAACATGAAAAAGCTAAGATCAATAAGTCAGTTAAAGGTTTCAAATCCCGAATTAATTAAGCTCAATAAGAAAAACAAAAGTTTCTACTTCAAAGCCCAGGAAACCTGCACTTTCTGTAACAAATTCATTTCTAACAGCCTGTTCCATATCCTTCTGTACTATCAAAAGCTAACAGACGACAGACACAAACATTTACAAGCATTTCTCTCTGCGCCAAGTGATGTAAACAAGATACAAGATATACTTCGAATCGATAGCATAGAGAAACTTAACAAGGTTTACTGGTTCATAATGTCAGCGTGCAATTCACTGGACACCAACCAAGTGCTATGACTAAGGATAATTGTTGGTCAGTTCAATTGATTGTTTGTTTGTTTTTTTTGTTTTGTTTTTTGGTTTTATTGATAATGTATATAGAAATTAATTGGAATGTAATGAAGTATTATTGTTTAGTTATTGCTTTTATAATAAGTCAATGTATAGCCATGATAAACTAGACTCATGTAGGTGAAATAAAGTTATTCATATATGTATGATTTGTACAAGATTGTAAAATAATCTTTAACAAATAAATTCTATTCTATTCTATTCTATTCTACTACGAGGTAGAAGCTTCCATAGAGAGAGTTTGCCCTCAGGGATCAGTTCTTGGTCCTGCTCTATGGAAGCTCGTCTTTGATGAGTTACTGGGAGTGTTAGAGGAAGAGCGGTTTCCTGCCACTGCTTACGTTGACGACCTAGCTGTTGTGGTGGCCTCCAACAGCAGAGCTGGAGTCAAGAGAGAAGCAGAGCGATGTGCCGGCTTAGTCGCTAGATGGTGTGAAGGGAAGAAGATGAGGATGGCTGCTGCCAAGACTCAAGCTACCCTCCTTAAGGGAAAGACTGATAGGGCACACCCTATAACGATGTACATAGCAGGCCAGAGGATACGCCTAAGTGAGGTGGTAACCTACCTAGGGGTTAGGTTAGGTGTAGGCCTGAATATGACGCCTCATTTGGAATATCTGGCAGGTAGGGTGGCCCTAGCAATGAACGGTCTAAGTCGTGTGGGGGACGCATTTTGGGGAACCTCACACTCAGACAAAGAAATAAGCTAGCATATAGGTCTACGTCGCATGAAGCAGTGCAGTTGTTAGCGGGGGTGGTGCCTCTCGACCTCCTCCTGCGAGAAGAAGTGACCAGGTGCGATTACAAGAAGGAGGGCTCAATAGGTCTGTCGGAGAACCTACGGATGAGGATTATTGAAAACCCAATAAATGGAAAAAGATTATCCGGGAGGAAACAATTGAAGATTGGAGAAGACGGTGGGTGACGACTCCGAAAGTACCTTAAGAAAATACTTCCCCACCGTTGAATCTCGGTTACAGGCGAAATGGGTCCTCCCGGACTATTGGGTTTCACAATTTTTCACGGGGCATGGGGGTTTCAGAGCTAAACTTCATGGCTTCGGACAGAATATATATCCCCACTGCCCCGCTTCCGGAGACTGTTGAGCATGTGGTCACGGCCTGCACTGCTTTCGACGAATTAAGAGCTAGGTTAATGAGAACCACGGGAATTTACGTCCTCACTGAGGAAGAGTTTCCTCAGTAGGTGAGTGAAGAAAACTTCCCGCGATTCAAATAGTTTATAAATGACTGGAAGACGGCGGTGGGCCCAGCTCACTTCAACCTAGGTGCACCCAGAAGGAGAAGAGGACCAGACCCAGGAAGACCTCCGGATTCGGGAAGCCAGGCCTAATTTGCTGAAGAATGAGGAAAAGTAGAAGAGCAAGCTGTGTGCACAGTTTAGAATTTTGTAAACCGATATTATAGCAGTAGTGTGTTTTTATGCATTAATGCTTAACATCACACTACTGCATACACCCCCCACGCCCTGGTGGCATGGGAGGGTGGAAAACAAATTTTAAAAAAGTTACAATGGAAATTAGTGGCTCTGATTCCTGTTTGTTAGTGTTTTCCATTCAAGTCGGCATTGAGAAAGAAATGGTGCCCTAAGAGGTTAAGTGAAAATTTTAACAGGATTTAAGAGATGTAAAAAGCTGAGATCCTCTCTGGTTATACAGATTTGCTAACATGAATGGTAACCTGTCATTTGTGACCTTTTAGGGGTGAATAAGAACTTAAAATTCAAATAAACAAACAAAATGTATTTAGAACTTAGTATTGTAATTAAATTGGTTTAGCACTTGTATTAATAGATGAAACAGATAATAATCTTTGAGTATTTTAAAAGCTCTAGCTTCTAAAACAATGTTATTGTTTTGATTATTTTCCTCCTATTGTTTTATTTTAGGTCTTGCTGGCAATACCTTAAAAGCTCTGAAAGACATCATGAAATTTGTAAAAGTATTCTTGAATTTAAGGTCGAAGAATGTTACAAGAAAAATAGAGAATCCTTCTTTATTGCATAAGCAAAAGAAGAAAACAGAAGCTCTTGGTAATACTTTATTAATCAATATTTGAAAACTATTTGTGAAGAAATTCACTTATGATCATTATATCTTAATCACTATTTCAAAATATTTTTATTAATAAACTTTCTCTCATTAATGGCATTTTAAGTTATTATTTCTTCTGGAATAGTGGAACCTTATTAAACTAACTCCTGCTGAGGTAAGTTGCTATATTGACTAGATTGCCAATAGTGGGAATTGTGACTGTTAGTAAGGCCAAAAAATGCAATAAAAAACAAATTGAAACTAGAGTATTTCCTGGAAATATTTAGATTAACATAAATAAAGGTGGCTATTACAGTGTTCTATTTATGCATCCTTGACCTGCTAAAACTTTTTTTTATCTCAAAAAGAAGAAACATGTTATGAACCACCATTTCATCTACTTTGAAGAGAACTGCGATTATTAAAGGTTCAAAACAATTCTTTACGAAACTCTGGAGTATTTTCTGAAATACTATAAATTTCTGACCATTGGAAGCAATTCAAATATTTCTTTCTAATTCTAATTATTTCTTCCTGTGCTGTTGATAGATATCAACTGAAGTTCAAGTATGTTTCTTCTGACTATTGGTCTGGATACACTCCTCATCAAACCATGGCTACCTTATCTAAATCTAGTTATGACATATCTTTTATTCCCAGAGAAGAATATATTTTTGATTCTCTTCATAAAGATAAAGAACCTATTCAACAAACTGGTTTTGTTGTGGAAATAATGCTTTTACAAAAAATTTTGTTTGACAAAAATTAGTCGGCATAATTAAAACTTATTAATTATTAAGAAGATATATTTATATTTCAAATTCATAGTTTAAAAAAAAATATGTTAATTTAAACTGAGAATAAATTAGTTATTTTCATCTTCTTTTATAATTTTATTTTTATTAATTCAGATCTTCTTCAAAATAACATAGATTCAGTTGGGGTAACCTCACCTATAAAAGAAGTATTGAATAATTCAAAATCAAAAAATCAAGCACTAGAAAAGAAAAGTAATTTCAATGTGCATAAAAATAAAAATGGATCTGAGTATGTTGGTAAGTAAGAAGTTCTTATTTATTCAATAATAAAAAAAGTTTACCGCTTCTCTTTTCATAGTTTTATTTTAAATAATTCAGGTTTTCTACAAAATAAAACAGATGCAGTGGGCATAATCTCACACAAAAAAGAAGCACTGAACAGTTCAAAATCAAGAAATCATTCAATAAAAAAGACTTTGGACAGACAAATTATGGTTCCAGAGGATAATGGTAAGTGAGATAATGTTCATATTCTTCTTCTTTAGCTTCCATCTTTAATGCCTCTCAGTGTAGAGGTGCATTCAGCCAGGAATTCTATTCTTCCCTATTTTTAGCTAGGTTCCTAGCCTGTCTGAGGTCCTTCTCCCTCGCCCTACAGAGTCACTCCATGTTGCCCTAGGGCAGTGATTAGCGGTGATTTTGCTCTCCTGTCGGTCTGTTAATATCCAACTCTCCGCTGCATACAAAAGTATGGGTACATATACTGTCTTGAAGATGTGTAGCTTGACATCTTTGCCTACTTCTCTCTTCCCTACCACAGTGTTATATATCTGGTAGTGAACTGCATTTTCCTTCTTAATCCTGTTAGATATTTCTGCGTCTACCGTATCAGGTATGTGAAGTCTGTCACCACTTTTAATTCTTCCCCATTACAGTATATGTGGATATATACTTCTTTCTTCCAAGTTGTAGGATCTTACTTTTGTTGGTGTTTATAAGTATCCCTTTTCGTTGGAACTCTTCATACCATTCCATAAATGTCAATTGCAACTTTTTCACTGATTCCGTAATCAAGATTCCAACGTCCCAGGAATGTCTTGTCCGTTCTTCTCTTACAAATAGATGCCACTTCATCCACGAACAACAGAGGGCTTAGGCTGTCTCCTTGTTTGACCGCCTTTGCAATAATGAAATAATTTGATTCTTGTCCGTTCAGCCTGACTATTCTTTTGGGCTCTTGATATATAGATTTAATTGTCTCGGTCAGGTTTCTCGGAACGTTCTTCGCTCTGAGAGCTTCCCATATGAGGTCAAAGAAAGTTAGGTACATATTTTATCTCCAGGATTTCTGTAAGATATTTCTTAATGAGAAAATGTGGTTACGGATTTGGCGTCCGGGTCTGAACCCATCTTCTCCTATTAGGTGCTCAACTAGTGGTCTTAAGCGACCCACCAATATGGATGTATATAGCTTCTGCGCAACTGGCGAGAGGCACATGGGAGTATAGTTAAAGCATTCTGCCTGAAATCCTTTCTTGTGAATTTGTATTATAATATTATATTCCCAATCCGTTGGAATCCTTTTTTCGTCCCAGGCTTTCTGGAAGAGGACTTGCAATGCTCTCACCTGCTCAGGGCCGCTATTCTTTATTAATTCAGCTACAACACCATCCCGTCCTGGCGCTTTTGATGTTTTCATTTTGTTTATTGCTCTCTCTCTACTTCTTCTTCCTCAACCACCTCGTCGTACTCTATCTCTTTCCAGTTTCCAATTAAGTTGGTTGAACGGTGATCATCAATACCAAACTGATTCATATAATGATGTCTCCAAACCTCCAAGATTTTCCTTTTTCAATCTTTATGTTTCTCACTGCTTTGCTTGTACGTCCTCTTAGAGCTTTATTTTTTTTTCAGAAAATCCTGATGTTTTCCCGATGATCCTGATCCAAGTTTCTTTCAAATTCTTCCCACGATTTCTGTTTCGCCCCTCTGTCTGCTTCTTTTGTGCCAACACGTATGCTTGCCATTTCTCTGGGGTTTTGTTCCGACAGTACCCTTTCCACGCTGTTTTCTATTGCAAGACTTGCACTCTCAGTTCTTCGCTCCACCATGATGTACGTTTACCTTTCGTGCAAATCTTTTTCACTCCACTAATATTCATATTAAATTTATTTTTTTAAATCATCATTTATGATAATTACTTAAGCCTTAGAAACTTTTATAAAACAGACTTTTCCTCAAACCTTCACCCATTTAATGAATTATTTTGTTACTATTATACGATTATAATAAAAAATATAATTTTAATACTAATATATGGAATACCGATTTCATAAAATCCTGAATACCCGCAACTTTTCCTTCCAGTAACTTTTTCACTCTATGCCATATATTTTAGGATTTCTGAGATTATCATCGAGTTCTGTTTCTTTCCGAAGTTTCGTTTCTGCTATTACTTGTCATGTTTTATTAATCTATCTAGTGATAAATCATCATTTTGGTCATGAAACTGTTATTTGCCATCCCCATAATCAGGGTCAATAAGAGTTAATTGTTGTCCGAAATGAACGATTTTTATATAGTTTTGTAGAGAATTTTATTACCTTTTAAAAAAAAGACTCAGGGGGCTCTAAACGTATAGATCCGTCGAAAACCGCATATCGGAAATTTGATCCGATCGCAATATTTTCCTTATCTAGCATAGGTAAGAAAGTAATAAATTAGAGCATGTGTAGAAAATGGAATAAGCTGTATCATCTCTAATGCTGGTTCGATTCCGATGATTTTTTTTTTTTGTTTTGTGGGTAATTTTTTTATTTTTTTTTATTTCTTTATTGAGTATTATAACAATCTGTCTCTTGGACATTGGTTATAGTGAGGTAGGATGACATTCACACTATATATACAAAAAAATAAAATAAATAGAACAAAATAATAATCAAAAGTACATACAATAGATAATAAAATAAAATAACTTAAAAACTAAGAAAAAAAACACACGCATGCCTATGTACGATCAGGCGAGGGAACTCCAGGAGAACCCTGCGCTACTCTCCCAACCGCGTCACTGGTACTAAAGCCAGCGGAGATTGGTCGAGAGTACTTTAGCCACATACACTCATGTCTTGAGTGAAGAATCTGGCCATTGCCAGAACTCCAATTTATACAATCTACAAAAGGTCGCGAGGCCACTGCCGTTTCAACCTTCTTGGAGGATTATAGGGTTGGGAGGTGCTTGATAGGGATTATGCAAGAGGATTTGGGTGGTACGTAAGGTTCTGGTGAAATTTGGAGAATTTTCCTGGGATAAGGTCTAGGACAAATGGAATGTTGAGGTCATGATGTAGGGTTTTGTTGGTTACATAGAAAGAAGCATCGACTATTGTTCGAAGGACTTTAGACTGGAAGGATTGGATGCGTTTGATGTTAGAAAATTTTGCTGATCCCCACAGTTCTAGTCCGTAAGTCCAAATAGGTTTCAGTATTGTCTCGTAGATCAGTAGCTTGTTTTCAATTGAAAGTTTAGATTTTCTGCTTAGTAGTCGGTATAGTTGGCCGTATCATCGGTTGAGTTCTTGTCTTTTGAGTCTAGTATGCGTGTTCCACGTTAGTCTTCGGTCTAAATGAAAGCCAAGATACCGGACTGTGTCTGAGTAAGGAAGCTGGATGGAATTAAAGAGTACTGATGGACAGGAATTGCGTCGGAGTGTAAAGGTAATATGTTGGCATTTAGATTCATTAACTTTAATGCGCCAGTTATTACACCAGTGCTCAATCAAGGTGAGCTGGCTTTGGAGATTTAAGGATGCTATTTCGGGATCAGAGTTGGATGATAAGATTGCGGTGTCGTCAGCGAATGTTGCAAAGAAAGTATCGGGATGAACAGGGATGTCAGCAGTAAAGAGGATGTAAAGCACGGGACCCAAGACGCTGCCTTGGGGAACACCGGCTTTAACGGAGTAGATATTGGAAAATTCTGTTCCACAGCGAACTCGAAAGGAGCGGTCAGAGAGGTAGGATCGGAGGACTAGGTACAAGGACTGAGGTAAATGGATTTTAAGCTTGGAGAGCAGTCCGGAGTGCCATACCCGGTCAAATGCCTGTGCAATGTCCAGAAAGGCACCCGAACAGTATTCCTTGTTTTCTAGGGCTGAGGAAATATGATCAACAACTCGGAGTCCTTGTTGAACAGTAGAATGTTGAGAGCGAAAACCAAACTGATGGGAAGGGATATTTTGGGATTCTATAATGGGTAGGATTCGTTTCAAAAGGATCTTTTCAAAAATTTTTGAAAGGATTGGGAGTAGGCTGATTGGTCTATAGGATGTTGAGCTATTGAGAGGTTTTCCTGGTTTTGGGAAAAGGATAATAGTGGAGTGTTTCCATAACAGAGGGAAGTGGGTGGTGCGTAGGATACAATTGTAGATATATGTAAGGAATATGACTGCTTTGGATGGAAGTTGTCGAAGGATTTGAGGTGTAAGGAGATCATGTCCAGGAGCTTTACGGGGATTAGTTTTTTTAATTGAAATTTTACTTCGGAAGGATGAATAGCTTTTGGGGGCAAGGAAAGTGGGATTGGTGATGTAAGGAGTTCTTCTACTGTTACGGTGTGGGCAGGATGGGATTCCGGATGTGAAATAAATGTATTGGATAGGTGAATGGCGAACTCCTCAGCTTTATCTTCGTCAGATGCTGCCCAGGAGCCATCACCTCGTCGGAGAGGATGGGAAATGCGGTGAGGATTTAGGATTTTTGTTGTGGTTTTCCAAAGGGAATTGTCGCGAGAAGAGAGGGAGGATAGGTAGGAGTTGAAGGATTGTGATCTGAAGGTGGCTAATTCCAGTTTTAATTGTTTGCAGTAGTAATTATAGGAGCAGCGGTCGGTAGGATGTCGGGTACGTTGCCATAATAATCTGGCACGGCGTTTGGTGCGGATTAGGTTAAGGAGGTGTTGGGGTAGAATGGTCTTTATAGGAATTCTGGAGGAGTCTTTTGGGAAGGAGGCAGTCCAGGCGGCTTGTTGGATTGTGGTAGTAAAGGAATTTACGGCACTATCAAGGTCATCGGGAGTTTTGAGGGATATGTTGAGATCAATATTATCGGAGATTATTTGGCGGAAAAGGTCCCAGTTTACTGGGCCCCTAATGAATGACGGTGGAGAAGGTTTGGGAACAGGTTCAAGTGAAACATTAAGGATTAGAGGACTATGGTCAGAGGAAAGTTCATTTAGACGTGTAATGGAACAATTGAGGGGACTTAAGCCGCTGTGGATAAAGAAATCAAGAAGATCAGGATTACGGTTGGGATCTGTGGGCCAGTAGGTAGGAGAGTTGGGGGAAAGGAGGTGAAAACGTTGGGAATTGAGTGCAGACAGCAGGGTTCGGCCACGAGAATTCGTGGTTCTGGAACCCCATTGTTGGTGCTTGGCATTTAGGTCTGCACCCAAGATGAAGTGATGTCCTAAGGAGTCGAGGAGAGAACTGAATTGGGCATTGGATATGGATCGG